CGGCCCTGGGCGCTGGGTGCGGGAGTTGGCAGCGGCCCCGCGCTGTGGGTCACTGAGGGGAGCAGCGCTGTGCCTCCCTTCGCCTTCCGCAGCCTGGTGCGGACACTCCCGGCCCAGCGTCCTCACTGCGACACGCATCGCTCCTTCCCTCTTGGAACTCCACCAAATGGCAGCGGTGCTTAACGACCCTCTGCCCCGTCGCTGTGGGGTCTTGGTGACGCCGCGCATCAGGATGTAAAATTCTCACCTGGTTATTCCCAACGGCTTTTCTTTCCCTTGTTACTAACTCCTTGTTAGTAATAATTTCAGACTATTAGTTAGTAATTACTTAGTAATAATCCCGGGCTGCCATCCTGCTGAAAGAGAGCCCTAGCAGTGGCTTGTGCTTGCAAGAGAAGTTTTATTTTACAGGACGAGATGTGTGTAACCATGGCAAGTGCCATGTCCAGCAAGGCTGGTGGAGGGAAGGCTGGTGCTGGTCAGCCTGCTCTTCCTATGCGCTCAGCATTTCAGTAGCTTAGGCTGCTTTTCTTTCCCGTTGAGCTTCCTGGCAGAAGAGTTCTGCGGGGTGCTTCAAAATCTAACGGGATGCAGGAAAGCGTGACATAAGCAAAACAGAGTTGGAGCGTGACCTTCCAGCACTGAATGAGAAATGATAGATAGGGTGGAGATAGCTTAAGAAGTGACTTGAAAGCAGTTAATTATCACTGTCCTAGAAGTTAAATGTAGAAGTGCTCTAAATAGATCTGAAGGGGAAAAGTGCACTGTTTAAATCTTATAGAAAAGACTGTAAAAATTCAAGATGAGTGGTGTAGGTGTTCAGCTATAATTTTATAAATTGATGTTGCATATTTGCATAGAAATACTTCTCTTTCTGCATGAATACCAACAACTATTTTGGGTATTAGTGAAGCTTTCTTTAGAGCCTTCTGTTAATATTTCAGAAGCATAGCTTAACTGTGGTTCATGTAACGTTTTACTGATTTTTCTTCTCCACTAAATTCTACCTTTTAATTTAGGATACTTCTAGGTTAAAGAAGTCTATGGCAATATAGGAGAGAAATTATGAAAACAAGTTTGAGGATTGTGGAATTCCTCAGGCAAGATAAATTTTGTCAAATGAGCTAGTTCTAAAATGACTAAAATATTTCTGTGTGTCAAGATGCAGCCTGTAACGTCAGGACAAGGGGGAACGGTTTCAGACTGAAGAAAGTAGTTTTTAGATTAGCTATTAAGAAAAAAAATACGGTGAGGGTGGTGAGGCACTGGAACAGGTTGTCCAGAGCTGTTGTGCATGCCCCATCCCTGGAAGATTTTAAGGACAGACTGGATGGGGCTTTGAGCAGCCTGGTCTAGTGGAAGGTATCCCTGCCCACAGCAGGAGGCTTGGAAACCAGGTGATCTTTCAAGTCCCTTCAAACCTAGGCCATTCTGCCTTTCTATGGTTTTACAGGTAGAGTGACACATTAGAGAGCACTTTTGAAGTTTGATTTTCTTCGCATCAATTTGACATCTGTCATCTATAATTAAGTATTCTAAATCTAATCCATCTGTAACGTGAAAGTCCATTTGCATAAGTTCTTCTGTTGTTAGACTTAAGAGTTACCCTGTGATGCTCACAGTCATGCCACAGAGTTCATAAAATACTAGACTAGTTACTAAACTAGTTACTGAGACTGTTGAGGCACTGTCTTGAACTTGAAAACAATAAAATTTGTAGTGTGGGAGTAAGAAAAAAAACACATAATATGGAAGTCTTTCTAAAAAGAGGGGGGAGGGAAGGCTGTTTGTAGTAGAGGAGGTTAATGACACTTGGGCTATGGTGAAGGTTTGTTTAAGTACCACCATAGAGAATTGTGTGTTCACTGATTTCTTAATGAGAGACATAGAAGTTGTTTCTGAAAGACCATAAATACTTTTATTAGGAACTAGTGGTAAAAAATTAACCATAACGTGAAGCTGTATTGCAGCTACTGATAAAAATCTGTGTCACACTATCTTTTTGCTTTTAACTGACATCAAGGCGGAATAGTTGATTTTATTTTTTAAATATCAAGGTGACCATGCTGTTCTGTGTGTCAGAATCAAGAATATAGCAGTAGCTGTGGCAAAAGCAGCTAGACTTCACCTCTTTCAAGCACAGGAATGGCAGAAGCTGGAGAACAGTGTCCAGGATCACAGCTGTACGGAGAAGTTCTCTAAAGCTCAGCTGACAAGTGAGTTAATGCTTGTTTTCTTCTTATAAAGTTACTGGTGTACTTAGAACTCTGTTACGTTATCTGTGTGTTTAGAATATTCATTTCAGTGAATTTGCGCTTTGCATCGACTAGGACTTTGGCCACTTGCAATTAAAAATACTATTAGGAAACAAAATTTCTTTCTTTGTATCACTTTAGAAGACATTGTTTGAAAGCTACAATTTAGAGTGTTGCTGGAAAATGGATTAACAATGGCTTTAGTGGGAACAGCCAAACTTCATGACCAGTTCCAGTTCAGGCTTTTACATGTTCACAACTCAGAAGAGGTACATATTTGGCTGAAGTTTTCATTTAGTCATTGAGTACAGAGATATTTTTTTTTTAGCTCCTCTTGGAGTCAATGTCTTTCTTTTTGTTTTGTTTTTTTTTAATCTCAAGTTTTCCATAATATAGATTATCTTGGATACATGAGAGAATTTACAAAGGATACCATTGTACTAAGAAACTGAAGAACTAAAGAATCTGAATGTTTGGGACAGTCAAAAGTTTGAATTGTTTGAGTTGTGACTTGAGTTGTGAATTGTTTGAGTTTGAATTGTGACTTCCATTACAGTGGCGTGAAAAACAAATTAGAGGCAAAATGATAGAACCTGCTGCAGTTGCCTCTAAACTTCTGAAACAAATGCTTGTAAGGTGGGAGTGTGTAGCCTAAGTACAAAATAAAAGGGTAATTTTGTGCCTGTAAGCCTTCTCTTTCACTACCTATAATAAGTCTTTCTTCTCTGCAAAAATAAATCTGCATCATCCTGCCTTACTTTATAACTTGCCTCCATTATAACTTAATGCTATTTCACCCTTTACTTTTATAACTTGATATTTGTCACTGAATCTCACATTCAGCTGTTTTTAATATTTGAGCTAAGAGTTATACCAGTATAGAATATGTAGATTGTCTTTTTGTTTCTTGTTTACAAAGGAACACTTCTCACTTGTCAGGAGGCTTCTCTTCTCCAGTTCCATGGAAATGGCATTTTTCAAAGCGGAGAAAACAAGTAACTAGAAGACAGACTGAAATAATATTTTTTGCATCATTTGTTGATCATAATGGTACTTAAAGCATAAATTTTCCTTTAAGAAATTAAATTAGTGTTAGAAGCTTCATTCAAATGTGTTTTAAGTGAGTGCAGCTTCTCTTTTAAATATACTTCTTTTGTGCAGTCAGAATCTCAAGAGTACCAGATTGATCTGTAACATTTGTCACAGTCAAATCTTACACAGATGTCACTTCTAGGGATGTGGTTTCCTTACACTTCATCAGAGCTGGAAAAAGGTGCTGCTGCTGGAATAACTGGCAGTTGGTCTGTCATTCCTGACTGTCCCAGCAGTGTACTCACTCATTTCTGCTCCGTTAGGAGCATCCTGACCAACTGTGTGAGTTGGATCTCTTTGCTGATCTTGGGCAAAATCTGTTGCTTTTCTATCTCTGAGTCAGTTTATGGCTTTGAGAGGTAACTGATTAAACACACTCTGTGATCCTTACTCTTGGTGCAAATAACACTGTGTCAGAACTCAGCTGAGAGGTGACATGGGGAGTAAAGCCACTCCTGTCAGCTGCAGTTTGCCTTTCATTTGGACTAAGTACCATGTGCAGTACTGGTTTGTGTGTTGTCCAAATCTGTGCTTCATGACACTTGCTGCAAGGAAACATACAATACAATTCTTCCTGGATACTAATGTTGTTCAGCTCATACCTTAAGAGAACAGGAAATAACTTCTTTCAGTTGAAATACATTTACCAGAATTACATAGAAGTTTTTCACAGGTAGGCTTCAAATTAGAAATTTGCTCTAAATTTTGTCTGCAAAATATTTAGGGAAAATGAGTTTGTATGTTTGCAGCTGTTTTATTTAGAAAGGCCTTTCACATAAGAAAAAAAAGGGGTTTTGTGGGTTTTTTATGAAATTTTTCTTCATCCTTAGCCATTGTCATCTTTACCTATTTAGGTGAATTATTCTGTTATTGTTATTTCTCCTGCAGAGAAATTATTGAGCTGGTTAGCTCTCAAGTTCAGTAGTCAATGTGACAATGCTTGCATTTCTTGCAGTTTCAGCCAAACATAGAGAGCCACAGGTTTCATTTGCATCAAGAGTTTGTTTTGAAGAGACTGTGCATGGTTAACTGTTTTTTTAGGCAAAAATTGTGGTTGTAATCTGATTTGAAATATGCAATTTGATTACACAATGGCTTCAGCTGTTAACTGTCACTTGAAATTGAGTATGTTACAGTTTGGGGAAGATCCTGTGAAATAATACTGATTTGCACCTTTTAAACATGCATGGTGTTGTTTACTGAGCTCACATGCAGCTGTTCCTGTTTGGTGCTCTTAATCTCTTTGAAAATGGAGTCAAATACATTTCATGAAGATACTTTTCATGCTGCAGAAATACCTGGTGGGTAGTACAGAATAGCTAATTCTGTCTAGATCCAGAACTAGAGGATGGAAATGTGCTAAGCAAAGGAGATAGTTTTCACTTTCTGGCTTCTGAAAGGAGGGCGCCCCCCCCAGCAGAGCTGAAAGGTGGGATGCAGTGTCCTCACTAACCCTTGCCTGCACCTACTTGAAACAAAAGCTGAAGTTGGAGGTCTGGTATCTGATGTTATGAATAGCTTTCAAAACTCAGTCTGTTTTCTACTGTGTATTGTTTATAACCTGTATATGATGCTGTGGATTTAAATTGTATCTTCATTCAAATATGTGTTTTCTAAAACCAAACTAATCAAGTATTTACTCGTATTTTATTTTTTTTTTTCTTCCAAAGTGACTGTGAACCACACAGAGCAAAATCTGACAGTGTCCCAGATTCCTTATCCGGAAACATGGTATGTGTTTTATGTAGACAAGTTTACCTGCGAGGAGAATTATTCTGAATCCGAGGATAT